GACATAATGGGATCCAGCAGCCCATAGATTGCAATAGCTCAGAGGGGGACACATGGGGAAGACTGAGACAGGACAGGACAGTGGGGAGACCCCTTGCCCTCACTCGGTCACTATATCTGTCCCCCTTGTCGTTCCAGCTCCTGTTCTCTCTTCATCCCTAACAATTCCAGTTCCTTTCTTCACCTTTCTTCACCTACTGTACTACCTCATTTCCTTTCACCATCTCCCTTCTCTTCATCTATTCCCGTTTCTACTATTCAGCAGCCTCCTTTCTCTCTAACCTATAATTTTATGTCTGTAAATTCAGTATGCTTCCAGAAGAGCTCTCCGAGCCCTGTTCCAGCAGGGGTCACCATCTATGTCTTAATTTCATAAACCCCTCAACCCCAGCTCAGTCTTGCCTGCATATTTGCCCTATGGAACCTCACCAAATTAAGAGGCCTCTGAGCTGAGGAGTGGGAAGTAGCTCAATGGCCCGGGGTTCCAACTGTGTCCAGTGATTACTCGGCACGTGTACTCCCTGGTTTTATGTCAACTTGACTCAAGCTTGTGTCATCTGAAAAGAGGGAACCTCAACTGAGAAAATGTCTCCATAAGATCTGGCTGCAGGACATTTTCTTTTCTTTTTTTTATTATTTATATTGAGGTCTACATTTTTCTCTGCTTCTCTCCCCCACCTCTCCCCTCCCCATCCACCCTCTCCCAAGGTCCCCATGCTTCCAATTTACTCAGGAGATCTTGTCTTTTTCTACTTCCCATGTAGATCAGATCTATGTTAGTCTCTCTTAGTGTCCGCATCGTTGTCTAAGTCCTCTGGGATTGTGATTTGTGGGCTGGTTTTCTTTGCTTTATGTTTAAAAACCACCTATGAGTGAGTACATGTGATAGTTGTCTTTCTGGGTCTGGGTTACCTCACTCAAAATAATGTTTTCTTGCTCCATCCATTTTCCTGCAAAATTAAAGATGTTATTTTTTTCTGCTGTGCAGTACTCCATTGTGTAAATGTACCACATTTTTCTTATTTAGTCTTTGGTCGAGGGGCATTTAGGTTGTTTCCAGGTTCTGGCTATGACAAACAATGCTGCTATGAACATAGTTGAGCACATGTCTTCGTGGCACGATTGAGCATCCTTTGGATATATACCCAAAAGTGGTATTACTGGGTCTTGAGGAAGGTTGTTTCCTAATTTTCTGAGAAATCGCCACACTGACATCCAAAGGGACTGTGCCAGCTTGCATTCCCACCAGCAATGCAGGAGTGTTCCAGAACATTTTCTTAATTAGTAATTGATGGACAAGGATCCAGCCCCTTGTGTGTGGTGCCATTCCTGGGCTGCTGGTCCTAGAGTCTAGAAGGAAACAGACTGAGCAAGCTAAGGGGAGCACCCAGTAGGGACCACCCCTCCATAGCCCTTGCATCTGCTCCTGCCTCCAGGTCCCTGCCCTGCTTGAGTTTCTGCCCTCACTGCCTTTGATGATGAACTGTAATAAGAAACTGTGAATGAAGTAAACCCTTCCCTCCCCAAGTTGCTTTTGGTCACTGTGTTCCATCACAACAATAGAAACCCTAGGAGACCAGGAAACTGCACACACTATAACTATTTGTTCGCCCTGACCCCATCCACAGCTCCACGTTAAGTGCTTGCTATTATCAGGTCCTGGGCAATGCTGGGGACAAAAATAAATAAATTTGAAGCCAAACCACCTTGTTTCCAGGACCTTGTCATTGAGTTGAGGAGGAAGCACTAGCAAGGCTCCATTAGCACTGATGTGTTAAATGTATCAGGATTGATACAAACAAGTGAGAACAGGTGTCAGGAGGATACAGGGACTGGGACACTGAGTTGAATACAGTCTGCACTTCCAGGCCTGGCTCCAGGGATTTCATGTACCTTTTTGTTTGTTCCACAGAAAATGAGAAAAGGAAACTATTACGTTGTCGTTGTTCCCCACTTCACTGGCATGCCAGGTGGAATCCTAAAAAAAACAAGTCACCCACTTTTGGTGAAATCTCAGGGAACATAAAACCTGAAACTCACCGGAGAGCGTCTTGCTAAGTGTCTTCCCATGGCCATGCAGATTTGGACAGGCAGGCCATAGACTCTACTGCATGGCTTTAAGGTAGTTCATGAGCTTGGTTGGCGTGGTGCTGCACGACTGTCGTCTTAGTGTCGGAGAGGCTGAGATCGGAGGAGCTCGAGTTACGAGGCAGTCTGAGATACATAGTGAGACCGTGTCCCGGGGAACCAAGCAAACAAATGCAAAACTGAAACACCATCTCCTGAGTGTGTGTAGCGACACTCACAGACCTTTCAGAGATAAGACAGCAGGGGGTATCCTGGTTGTCACATGAGGGCATGCATCATATGGACATAACAGCGCAGACTGAACTCCTGCATACTAAAAAGGCAAGGAGTCACTTCATGCATCTGTATCTGTCAGTCATTCCCTTTGAGTGTATGCGCAGGACACCATGGAACCAGGGAACCTCACATGGGTGTCAGAGTTCATCTTCCTGGGACTCTCCCAGACTCATGAACTTCAGTTCTTCCTGTTTCTGGTGTTCTTGTTTGTCTACAGCACAACTGTGGTGGGAAACCTCCTCATTATAGCCACAGTGACCTCGGATGCCAGGCTCCACACACCTATGTACTTCCTGCTCCGCAATCTCGCTGTCATAGACCTCTGCTTCTCCTCAGTCACTGCCCCCAAGATGCTGATGGACTTCCTCTCTGAAAAGAAGACCATCTCCTACCGAGGATGCATGACCCAGCTCTTTTTTTTCCACTTCCTGGGTGGGGCCATGGTCTTCTTCCTCTCAGTGATGGCCTATGATCGCCTCGTGGCTATCTCCCGGCCACTCCACTATGTCACCATCATGAACGCCCAGCACTGTATGGTACTGGTGGTTGCTGCATGGATAGGAGGCTTTGCCCATTCCATTGTCCAGCTGTCTCTGATGCTCCCACTGCCCTTCTGTGGCCCCAATGTCCTGGACAACTTTTATTGTGATGTCCCCCAAGTGCTGAGACTTGCCTGCACGGACACCTCCCTGCTGGAGTTACTCATGATCTCCAACAGTGGGATGCTGGATGTCATCTGGTTCCTTCTCCTTCTGATCTCCTACTTGGTCAT